AAAAAAAAAAAAAAAATTCACAGCTGCCAGGTGCAGTGACTCAGGCCTGTAATCCCAGGCAGATCATAAGGTCAGGAGATGGAGACCATGCTGGCCAACACAGTGAAACCCCATCTCTACTAAATATTAAAAAAAAAAAATTAGCTGGGCATGGTGGCATGCACCTGTAGTCCCAGCTACTTGGTAGGTTGAGGCAGGAGAATCGCTTGAACCCAGGAGACAGAGGTTTCAGTAAGCCTCGATCGTGCCATTGCACTCCAGCGTGGGAGACAGAGCGAGACTCCTTTTAAAAAAAAAATTATACTTAAAAAAATACTTTGGGCAAAAAAAAAAAAAAAAAAAAAAAAAAAAAAAAAAAAAAAAAAAAAAAAAAAAAAAAAAAAAAAAAAAAAATCACAGCTAACATCATGCTTAGTGGTAAAAGATTGAAGGCTTTCCCCCTAAAATCACAAACAAACAGATATCCATTCTTGCCACTTCCGTTAACATAAACTGAAGATTCTAGCTAGGGAAATTTAGCCACCCCTGCCCCCTCAAAAAAGATAGTCAGATTGAAAAAGAGGTAAAACTAACACTTTTTGTGGGTTATAACATCTTGGATACAGAAAATCCTAAATAATCCACTAAAAAACTGCAGGCATATCTTGGTGGGTTCCAGACCACTGCAATAAAGCAAGGATCACAATAAAGTGAGTCACATGAATTTTCTGGTTTCCCAGTGCATATAAAAGTTATATTCACACTATGCTATAGCCTATTAAGTGTGCAATAGTGTATCTTTTAAAAAAGTACATACCCTAGTTAAAATATACTTTATTGCTAAACAATGGTACCGATCACCTGAGCCTTCAATGAACTGTTACCTTTTTGCCAGTGGAGGTCTTGCTCCCGTGCTGATGGCAGCTGACTGATCAGGGTGGTGGTTGCTGAAGGTTTGGGTGGCTGTGGCAATTTCTTGAAATAAGACAACAATAAAGTTTGCTTCATTGTCTCTTGCTTTCATGATACGTTTCTCTATAGCATGTGATGCTGTTTGATAGCATTTTACTCACAGTAGAACTTCTTTCAAATTTGGAGTCAGTCCTTTCAAACTCTACTGCTGCTTTATCAATGAAGTTCATGTAATATTCTAAATCCTTTGTTGACATGTCAATAACGTTCACAGCATTTTCACAAGGAACAGAGTCTATCTTAAGAAACCACTTTCGGCCAGGTGCGGTGGCTCACGCCTGTAATCCCACGCCCTCGGCCTTGGGAGGCCGAGGTGGGTGGATCACCTGAGGTCAGCAGTTCGAGACCAGCCTGGACCACATGGTGAAAGAAACCCCATGTCTACTAAAAATACCAAAAAAATCAGCTGAACATTGTGGTGGGTGCCCGTAATCCCAGCTACTCAGGAGTCTTCGGGAGGAGAATCGCTTGAACCTGGGAGGCAAAGGTTGCAGTGAGCCAAGATAGCACTGTTACACTCCAGCCTAGGCAACAGAGTGAAGAGTGAAACTGTCTCAAAAAGAAAAAAAAGAAACCACTTTCTTTGCTTATCTATAAAAATCAACTCCTCATGAGTTCAAGTTTAAACATGAGATAGGCCGGGCGCAGTGGCTCACGCTTGTAATCCCAGCACTTTGGGAGGCCAAGGCGGGTGGATCACGAGGTTAAGAGATCAAGACCATCCTGGTCAACACAGTGAAACCCCGTCTCTACTAAAACTATAAAAAATTAGCTGGGCACGGTCGTGCGTGCCTGTAATCCCAGCTACTCAGGAGGCTGAGGCAGGAGAATTGCCTGAACCTAGGAGGCGGAGGTTGTAGTGAGCCGAGATCGCGCCATTACACTCCAGCCTGG